CCTCAAGATTGCTTTTCGATATCGATTCTATTCCTTTGCTCAGTTCTTTGTTGAAAGTATCCTTAGCCTGCGCAAGCGCGACAGCCCTTGCGTCAGATGAGAGATATTCCTCTTCCGCGCTCTTACCAAAGTCGGGCAGGCTATTGTATTTTTGTTTAGCCTTTCTCGCGAGTTCTGCTTCTGAAAGATACTTCTGTGTTTCGCCGCTAACGAGAGCCTTATCTCTGGCAAGGGCGTGTTTTTCGTATTCTTTATAAGCGTCAGAAACTTCTTTTATGGCCTTGTCAACTTTGTCCGCATCTTCCTTTTGTTTCTTTGCGGATGCTGCAGCGGCGTCAGAAGTTCTCTTGTAATTCAACTGCACTTCTTTGAGCGCCGCGTTGACATCGTTATAAGCGCTTTTCAGATTGGAGAAACTCTGACTGCCATAGCCTCCGTTGTCAACAAATCTCTTCAGATCGTTTTCAAGTGTCCCGACATTGTCAGGAACGGTTTTGCCCATCTTTACATATTCGTAACGGGCATTATCCAGATTGGTAATGAGGCGTTTTGCCTGCTGAACCTGATTGAATCTGCGATTATCTTCGGCTCTGTATCTTGCGCTTGCCGCCGCAGACTTTGCCTCATTTGATCTGCGCGCAGTCTCCTCTTTCCTCGCCGTCCTGATGGAGGAAGCAATCTGGTCGTATTTGATTTTGATCTGATTGAGAGAATCGAGATTGTTGGCCTGAGCACCGCCGCCGATAAATCCAGCGATTTCGGATTGCAGGTCATTAATACTTTTGATATTATCGCCGCGCCCTCCCATGCGTAAGAACTCATTTTCGTATTCATTAAGCTTGGCAAGGTACTTGTTCGCCTGCACTTCCATCGACTTGAAAGATTTTTCAGCAGACTTATTATCGGCGAGTGTCTGCACTTCTTTGCGGGCTTCTTTTACTCTCGCGCTGAATCCGTCAACAGATTCCTTAAGCTGTTCAAAACTCTTGACCTTGCCGATTTCTTCAAGCGCGCTTTTCAGATTTGAAAGAGTACCTTCGTTTACCTTACCTTCAAGGCTGTCAATGATTTTCTGATACTGCGATGTGTATCTGGTAATTTCGGCGGAGAGCTGAAGGTCGCCAGTCCGTTCGTTTGCGTACCTTTGTTTGGCAGAAAACTTTAAGTTTTGCAGTGTACTGGGCGACGCCTTTGTTCCAATGCTTTTTTGAGCGGCAACTCTAAGCTTGTTGTAATAGTTCTCAGCCTTTTTCGCTTCTTTATCCCAGTACGACTTGGCCGTTTCGTCTCCTGACATTACGGCTTTGTTATATTCTTTCGTTGCATTGGTGTATCTGTCGTACTGCGACTGGACTTTCTTCAGAGCATCTTCCTTTTCCTTTGCAGCAGCTCTCTGCTGCTGTGCGGACACCTTTGCCTCGGCCTGCTCTTCACGATATGATCTGATGAGATTTTTTGAAAGCTCAATGATCTCGTTGTACTTTTCTACTCTTTCATCGCCGCTTACGAGGATGCTTCCGTCCTCGCCGATATATGCACCGATTTTTTCATTCAGTGTTTGTAATCCTTCAGGAGCGGTTTTACCCATCGCTTCGTAGTTCGTCTGAAGTATCTTCAGGTTGCTCTGTATGTCTTTTACCTTCTCGTCCATGTTCGCTAAAGAATCATGGCCAAGATCCTTTTTTGCTTTCGCATTAAGCGTGCTGAATTGTGTTTCCAGAACAGCGAGATCTGTCTGCAGATTCTTGATGTAGTTATCATCATTGGGATTGTTCGTCGCGCTGTCCACGCGATCAAGCAGCGCTCTTGCTCTTATCGATGTCTCGCTGTCGGCCTTGAGCTCGTCGTCAGATTTCGCCTTAAACCGTTCGATTTTTGATCTGAGGTTCTTTTGAGCGTTTGCAAGATCGGCCGCTTCTTTCGCACTGCGTTCAAGCTCTTTTGCGGCGGCCTCGCCGTTCTCCGTTATCTGCACAGTGATATCGCCGAATCGAAGCGCGGTCTTCATGCCTTCTTCGTTGATAGCATCTGCAATACCAAAGTCTTGCATTTCATCTGCTGTCATTCCGTCTGCATTTTCGTTTACACGCGAATACCTCTGGCTGAGAGCAATAGATTTTCCTGTTCTCTTGTCAGAGACGGACATATTAAAAACGCCAAGTTCTCCATTCTGTGAAATGGTAGAAATCTTGGCTTTCGATATGTCAAATCCCTTGTTCTTAATTGCGGCAACAAGTGCCTCTGCATCCTTTGCCGCATCGGTTGCTGTGGCACCAAGCTCGCTCAGTTGTTTTGCAAGATCCGCAACGGCTATGTTTTCTGCGGTCGCTCTCGCAAGTTCACCGCTTGGATTTTGCGGCACAAATGTGTCCGGAGTTTGAGGAGGCTGTTGAGGAGGGGTAGAAGAAGGCGGCGGGGTAATCCTACCGCCAGTCGGAGCGATGACTACATTTTCGGTTTCGATGTTGGTCGTCTTGCCGGAGGGTTTTGTGTCGGTACTACGCGGAGTTGCCTGACCGACTTTGTCTGCGGCTTGCTTTTTTTCATCTACCGCGATGGTCTGCTGCTTTTCTTTTCCTTCTTCTTCTGACTTCTTGCCTTTCTTCTTTTTTTCTTCTGATTTCTTGGCAGATTCTGCGGCTTGATCGGAGAGCTTCTCGATCTCTTTAACGCTTTGTTTCAAATCTGATATCGCCTTGCGAACGCTACCGATCATTTCGTCGATCTCTTCGTTAAATTTCCTGATTCTTTCTTCGGAGCCATCAGATTTGTTTCCACCAACAGATTGTGCTCTTTGTTGTAACTTATCGTACTCGCTGTCAACGAGCGTGAAGTCGCCATCCGGCAATTGATTCTTTGCTTTTGTTATTTGCCCCTTGATGTTTGATACTTTTCTTTGCGCATCTTGACGGGCGACACCTTCGTTTCTGGTAGCGATCTGTCTTCCTAATGCCTCCTTGATATCGTCATAGTCCTTTTTATATTTTTTGACGATGTCCGAATTTCTTGTGGACGTTCCGCCAGTTAGTCTCGCCGTTACCGTGACAGCGTCCTGACCAAGCATTAGCATCCTATCCTCTAAAGAAGACCTGATGATTTCATCCTGCTCTTTGATTTCTTTTTCGAGTTTCTTATAGTCGTCTTCTATTTTTTTGATGTAAGCGGAGAGTTCCATACCGCTTTCTTCGATTTCTGATGCTACTTTTTCTCCGACAGAAGATAAACTATTTGTGGAAGAACCAAGGGACGATGACGCCTTATCTATTGCAGAATTAACCATTGATGCTGACTGTTCTGCTGTGTAGCCGCTTTTTTGTAGAGCATCATAAAAAATCGGCATCGCGTCTTCTATTAAGTCCTTTGGCATATCTGATTGCAAAGTATAACTGGAATTACGCATTTATTTTACACCCACCTCTGATAGAAATTTTTGACGCACATCATTTAACAATTGCGCTTTGTTTCTCATAACAGCGTCTTTTAGATTTTGTTCTATGATATTTGCTTTTCCCTCAAGTATTATGTCAAGAAATTCATATATCGGTCTCGGTATATACGGATATCCATATCCTCCTTCCATGAATTCATCAAGGCTCATCCCTGAATCTGCTCCATCTGCGTTCGGAGGATACGGTGCTTCATTTTTTATTGTGACATTGTAATCGTTATCACAACTTATATTGTAATTTTTCCAGCTCTGAAGCCCGCCTCTTTTCTTTCTTCTCTTGTATTTCTTCGGAGTATACATCCTGTAAACGGCTCTCGAGACAGCTTCGTCCATCGCGTACTCAAATGTTCTATACACGCCATTTTTTCTTAGGATTTCTGTTTTCATTTCATTTTTAAGATACTCTGCATATGTTTCACAGAGTATGATGATAAACCTACTGATCATATTAGTGAGCTGTTCTTCTCTCGTCATACCCATGCAAAAATGGAGGGCACAATAGCCCTCCATTCATTCCTTTCAAAATTATTCTTCGTTCGCGCCCGTTCCGAGCATCGCACCGATATCGATTTCTCCGTTATTCACCTTGTCGAGCACTGCGTTGATTTTCCCCACAGCTTCCGTAAGCCTTCCAATCAGCTTGTCCGCGCCGGTTTCCCTACACTTGAAAGCCACGCCGTCTTCCACCATTTTCTCAAACAGCTTTACCAGCCGAGCGTCACAGTTCTCCGCGATCTTCCTCGCCACGTTCCCAAGCAGCACCTGCTCCATGAACTCATCAATGTTCTGATCGATCGTGGTGGGGTCACAATCTGTGAATGCGGTCATCAACCCAAGGTTGTAGTAAAAATCTCTGCTGATCATTCCCATCTTGTCGCTTACGATCTGATTTACGACGGCGTTCGCCAGAACAACCATCTCTGTGTACTTCACTTCGCGCTTGAAATTTACGCCTTCAAAACTAAACATTTACATTCCCTCCAAATTATCCGTCGATTTTCTCGTCCTTGTTGCAGTTGATGTCGGCTACGTCGATTATTTCGTCCTTGTTGAATACGATGTTAGCTACGCCGATTATTTCGTCCTTAATCACAATGTTCCATACTGCGCTGATACCGGCGGCACCGGCAGCGAGTACAAGACCTACCCAATAAGTTTTGCCCTTGTCTCCGTTAAAAAAGTCCACGCCGCTCAGGTTCGCGATCAGGTAAGAACCCGCAGTCTGTACAAAAGTCTTGAACGCACGAATAGCAATTTCCTTCCAATTCTTCATAAAAACATCTCCTTCATATTTTCCAGCTAAGTACGATCACAAATGCAAGAAGCACAAACAGCAGTAAATCAATTTCCACCATCTTCATCACCGCCGATATACACAGTGAATGACCCGCCGGTTTTAACGGCAGCGAATATCTCAGCGTTGTTTTCAGAACAGGGGAGACTGAAATCTCCGGCGGTCACGATCTTCGTCTTCATCTCCGCTTCCTGCAATTTGTTTTCAATCTTTGTACTTCCGTGTGTTGTAAATCCGTGTATGTTAATCACGCCGCTGTTAACCATCGATACCATCTCCGGCTTCCACTTCTCCCACCGGTTCAAGAATTACGAACGGGGAAGGGGGAATGGGCGTGTATACTTTTCCGCTGCTATAGATGAACCTGACATCCCACACATATTTCTTGGGCGCGAGATCCGTGTATTCTCCTGTCAGTTCGATATACAGCACGTTGTCGATGGGGTTCATTTCCATCTCCCAAATCTTCTCATCCATTTTGTCAGGGTCTTTCAGCGTGACCAGCGCATCGGTATTGTCGGGCACACTTTCGCCTGTGATGTTGATCGTGATGTCCGCGCTGTCGCCCCGCGTGATGCTGATCCCGTATACTCTTTCATTGATGATAAGCAAGTTTGTCTCGCCTCCTCACGCTAAAAAACTGTTGTTCGTCAGGTTGTCGTTATATACTCCAAGCACATATTTATAGTCTTCCGTGAACACGCCGTTCGTCAGCTTATATTTTCCAAGCAGTGCTTCGTATTTTGTGTTGAGGTCGATGATGTGCTCAAATTCACTTTTTGAATGCCGGCGTCCGTTCCTGCACGAATTTGCAAAATCCAGCACCACATTCCGTATGTCGTCTATTTGGTTCATGTCGTCGTCTCTGATGTGCTGATTCAATGTGTTCTTTACTTCACTCAGCTCCGTCTCGATGTTTCTGGTTATCACCTTCCCGATCCAGCTGAATAGCGCCGTGAAGGGATTAAATTTGATGATCGGTGTTATCTGCACAAAACACGCAAGAACGAACGTGCAGAATGCCCAGTGGTCTAAAACCCATGACCATATTTGCTCCATGTGTTATGTCCTCCGATACTTCCGCGCCGTCGCCTTGCATGCGCGTATTATGCGATTTTATCAAGCAGCTTCTGGATTTCTCCGAGCAGCTCTCTGATTTTCGCCACAGTTTCCATGTTGTTTTCTTTTTCAGGTTCATTGCAGGCAGGAGGTTCATTGTCCTCTGCGGGGGGCTCTTCATCCTCTTCTTCACAAGGAATAGGCTCTGTGTTGATCCTTTGCATAAACTCGGACATTGCATAACCAACCATATCCTTGTATTTGACCTTCCACCATTCGCCGTTATCTTCAAGCACAGAAACCATTTCTCCGTGTTTCATCTGCGCGAGAACATAGGCACTCTTAGAGGGAGAAGAGCGAAGATTGAGCCACTTTTCGGATAACACTTCAGCTTCAAATAACACTGTAGGATCAACCTCCTTGTCGCAGTCTATAATCGTAGCATTGATTCCTTCGCACATCGCTTCGCGAACATCACGCCTGAACTGATCCATTGTATAGCCAAACTTGCTGAACCATTCCTGTGTGTCGCTGTGATTACTCGCAACGCCACACGAATGCAGTTCCCTGTGGTTCATCACGCCTTTTAATCCTATATTGCAATCAATGATCTCTTCAGGATCAATGCCGTTGATCTGGCAGATATAAGCTGCGTAGTTGACAGATGCTTCTTTGATAGCTTTGTTAAAATAATCTTCGTCCTGCATACTGTCTCTCGCGACTTCCCAGCCCCAGTATCCTATTTTATTTGCATTGCCGTTATTGCCGGAGCCTGACAGCCAGTTGCGCTTATTGAACGGCAGCAGTTGATAGATAACTACGTTGCCGTCTTTGTCGCATCCGATAGCGCCGCCGGGCGTCATGTTTGTTCCGGGCTTGTTCCAGTGATTGCCATATTGATTTACTCCGAGACGAACAGGATCGTCGACGAACCTCTTCAGCCACTTATTGCTTGCGCCTGTGTCATGAAGCTGAACGCCGACGATCTTCTGTGTCGGAGCCTCGTTGTAACAATCTGTCTTTTTCAGGTAGTGACGGTAGATTGTTATGTTACGCATTTACATCACTCCTGTTATCCGCCGATTTCTACCCATGTCCCGCTTGCGTTCTTCATCCACATCTTAGAAAAATCAGGCAGATATGCAAGGCTGCCCGGAGCGATCGATCCGTATGTCTGCGGCTCGGTGCTGATGTCGCTTTCCGATTCAATCAAAAATTCTTTGTGCGCCTGACCGAAGTTGGCTCCGTCGCCGCCCATGCTGATAAGAGTCCACATAATATCAACCTCCTATTTCTGTAGCAATCCAGTGTTTATTATTGGCGTATTTGCTCTTGATAATCGCCTCAGAATAGTCGTTGTCGTCCTTTTTGTTATGAAGGACAAACCCGGTTTCAGCAGTTAGCTTTACATAAACATCATCAATATGTTCAACGATAATATGTTCCATAGTATCATCTCCTTATTAAAGCGGAGGCCGTATTTCAGGCCTCCGCATATATGTTATTCTGCAAGATCGACGTAAGCAAACCAACCGCTCTCAGCTTCTGTTCCGTCGTTGTTGAATTTTATACTGCAGACATAGCTTCTTACGATCGGAACGATTTCTCCTGTACCAGGAACGATATCGCCCTGCCCGCCAAGCGCACCGTATGACAAGCCCTTGCCATACATAGAAATAGACGCAGCAAGTCTCAATACTAACATCATTTCATTGCTTCCGACTTCTCCGTGGAATATAAGTTTACTTGCCGGATCTGCAAAATCGATCTGAGCAAGTTGGTCATCTGTAAGAGCAAACTTTCCGTCGGTTGCATAAGCAGATATCTGAGAGGATGTTATCTCGATAGTCTGTTCAGTTTCGCCGCCACCGCCACCGGTTATGCCAAGCTTTTCCTGCGCGGTCTCCTTCTGCGCGTCTGTCCACTCAGGCCATTCAGAAGGAACATTGTCCATCTTTCTGTCCTGCAGATTAGCAATAGCACGCACGTAGTCGTTCGCGTATCTTATAGTTCCTTTGAATGTTCCGGGATTATCTTCGTTAAGAAACTCTTCCGTTCCGAAATCTGCTACACGATAAGTAAGATCGAGAGGCGGATTGAATTCTGTTGTTACGAAATTATCAGAAGACATGAAATAATAAACATATACGTCGCCCATTGCGGATTTCAATCCGGCAATATCATCGTTCTGCCAATACACGGCGTAATCGGAGTCTCTGAAGATACAACCGATATTGACGTTATTGGAACGTTTTCTTGGGCTTATTGCTTTATTATATCTTGCGTTCTCCATTGAACTATAAGGTATTATTTTCCAATCTTTTGTATTCTGAAATCCTGGAATATTGGTATATGCATTATTAGAACCGAGATTTCTTTGTCCTAAAAATCCATCCTTAATAACAAATGCATTCTCTACTGTCGCCCATTTCTCAATAGTACAATCTTTAAGATTGACGCGATTTATTTTTCTTATAATTTTCTCCGGAGTAACAATATCGGAGCCTTCTTCGTATGTCCATATAACTCCTACGTTTTCTCCGTGCGATGTGCTTCTTGCGCAGTTTATTCCGTACGGAAGATATTCACTGAGATCAAGTTCTTTCGTTTCACACCAATACGATTCAAAATCTCCGTTGCGATATCCGCTCCATGTTAAATGCACACAGGTGTTTGTGCTGTTACCGCCTACGATAGTTAATACGCCATTGCTTGTAGGGGTAAACAATCCTTCTCTGTCGGGAGTTATTTCTCCATCGACGCTATGAGTAATAGATTCGTAATCTCCGGTTATCTGATACTGATTGCCGCCGAGTACAGTTGCAAGTCCTGTCTCGTAGTCGAACGCATTAAAACCTACTGTTCTTATTGCTGTAACATCTACGGTTTGCGTGCAATCTGCGGATCTTGTTCCTGTTATTTTCATAATCTGCGCAACGCCTTCGTCTGTAACGCTTTGATCTCCGCAGCTTGTACGAATGCCTGTCTGCGTAAACGCTTTACCTACATCGTTAATATCGATAAGGTTCTCTGCTTTACCGACTGTCATCTCTGTATAATAACCGTCTACGTTTGCTTTGGTTTCTCTTGCTACCGCGTCAACGATTTCGTAGGTTTTCGCCTGAGCGCCTTCGCCGATAGTCAATGTTTTCATTTCAGTCATTTTTGTTCACACTCCTTAATAAAGAGTTACATTGCCGGCTCCGTCATCATCCGCATGCACAGCCGGTATCACAAAATCAAAAACAGCAGCAGAAGATGTGCCGCTGTTTACAATAGAGAGTTCGTTGCCGTATTCTACCGTTCCTACATCGATCGTAGCGGCGTCTCCGGCGTCTCCCTTTGGGATCTTTTTGATCATCGGCAGAACAGCGCCGATTGTTTCAATGCTGATCATTTATATCGCCTCCTGCTTAACAATGTTGAGCGTAACATTTCCTTCTCCGTCATCATCAACTTCAATATCTATGGCATTGATAGCGTCGCCGGTAGCCTTGGCATCTGCCGCTTTTCCGGCATAGGTAAGGCTTGAGTCTATCTCGATCGGCATACTGCTCTGAAGCCAAGCCGTACCATTCCATGTCTTGTTGTACCCAAGATCGGTCACATAATAGGTGTCGTTAACCCTCATCCCGCTTGTCGGCAACTCGGCATTCGTAGTAGTACCCAGATACCTGAATACGCTGCTCACGCCGAGGATAAGATCGGCGTGGCTTTTCAGCGTTGAATCGATGATGTCAGAATTTCCGTTAGCCGTTTCCACACTGTACCGTTCAGATGCGAGATCCTTTTTCAAATGAAAGTTTGGTGTATAGTTGGGCATAACATCACTCCGTTCTGAACTCAACAAATCCATTTAGATTTTCAATTTCGTCAATGGAGATCATGATGTCCTCATCGCTCGATATAGATACTGGCATGTATTCGATTTCGCAATCAAGCTCCGAGATTTCGTTTATCCTTTTCATGAAGTTCGTTGCGTCTTCCGTGTTGCTAAACTGAAGCTTGCCATCTTCTGAAAAGCGTGCCCCGTATTCCTCAATAAGCTTTTTCTCCTGTTCGATCTGAAAATCGTAGATTTCCTTGAGCTTGTTTTTCAGTACATATATTTCATAAGCAGTTTTCAGCTTTAACTGCTTGTTTGATAATTTACACAGCGTCTTATATGCGTTCACAGCTTTGCCTTGTTTCATAGTTGATCTCCTTTATCTTGTATATAAATCAGTTCTTTGAGTGGCGTTATATGGCGTAGTCTGTCTTCTATATATCGTGGTTGGCGTGTGCTCAGTAGAACATTTATAAACATTAGCGCCTCCGCTATAAACAGTCCCGCCAACAGAATCATGTATGACTCTATACCATCCACCTACGCCATCAGCCGTGTAAAGATATTCTGTATATACAGTATGACTTGCGCCTACCTGTTGAATAAGATCTCCGCGCTCATATAGTGAACTATTTGTGATAATTCCATTCGCGTTTTGATCGGACTTGTAGAAAGTTCCGCCTTCAGAAATTTCATATAGAGAGCTGATTTTTGTAAACTCTCCTACGCCATCGTCATATCCGTCTTCATATACGCCAGAGGCGTCAACAACCAGTTGTCGCAACGGCAACGGCGCTCCGCCGCCGGTAGCTGTCACGGTCGCTTTGTGGTCAGAAGTAAATTCCGTAGATGTCAGCGTAATGGCAGGGACGTTTATTGTAACAGTTTTTCCGTTGCTTGCTGTTACGATGTTTGTGCCGCCAGCCCAGCCTCCTTCAGAAATAGTAACTGATTGTTTGCCATCAGTATACCAGTTTCCTATGCTGAAACTTGCTAATGTTGTCGCTCCGTAACGGGCATAAACATATCCCGTTTCTTGAGGTGTTTGAGTAGACGACACCAGCGTAAATGTCATCGGAGCGGTCTGTCCTTCAACAACTGTGCTTGGCACTCTCACTGTAAACACAGAGCCAGATCCCGGCTCCGTCGTAACAGAACCGGCCGCATCCATCCA